TTTTGTTTTGGGGGTGTACTAGAACATGCTCTCATGCTTGGTGGTTCGAAAAACGCATTATTTTTCACATAATTTACATTATTAAAATACCTTTCTTCCCATCCTGGCACAAACGGCTCGATTAGTTCTGGCTTTGATGAAGGTCCACCTTCCGAAAAACAAAATGTGTTGTGATTGGTTAGCTGTCCTAATGCGTTGTGATTGGTGAACAGCTTAGACAGTGTTTCATAGCTGCCACGCCCCTTGCTCCATCTTTCAACAAAAGCTTTTGTTGAATCCGGCACTGTACTCCCTCATGTTGTGGAAGCTGTCCTCAGTAAAATGCGCAGCACACAATAGCAAATTGGGGTTATAATGCTCAGGAACAGAGTTAAAAAATAAATTGCAACCACGGTTTCCTGACATCATCCGCTTTCAGAAGCCCAAAGACATTTGGGGAAAAAAAACAGCATTTCAGGCGGTCGTGCACCGGACAAGAAGTCCGTTCGGCGTCTGTCCGCGGCGCCCAGCTACGTTGTGTTATACTTGTAAGAATTGTTCTAGACATGCCGAAAATTTGACGCTACATTACAGCAGCTCTTCTTGGTTTTCTCTGATGCACTAACTCTGCAGCAGCACTTCTTCTTCAACGTCTCTCGGATGCACTCACTCAACCAAGCGTTCTAACCACAACCTCGCCCCTTTTGTTGAATCCGGCACTGTACTCCCTCATGTTGTGGAAGCTGTCCTCAGTAAAATGCGCAGCACACAATAGCAAATTGGGGTTATAATGCTCAGGAACAGAGTTAAAAAATAAATTGCAACCACGGTTTCCTGACATCATCCGCTTTCAGAAGCCCAAAGACATTTGGGGAAAAAAAACAGCATTTCAGGCGGTCGTGCACCGGACAAGAAGTCCGTTCGGCGTCTGTCCGCGGCGCCCAGCTACGTTGTGTTATACTTGTAAGAATTGTTCTAGACATGCCGAAAATTTGACGCTACATTACAGCAGCTCTTCTTGGTTTTCTCTGATGCACTAACTCTGCAGCAGCACTTGTTTTTCGCCGTCTCGTCTGATGCACT